GCAGCCTCAGACTAGGAGTCTCGAAAACAGCAGTCTCATCCGTTGGTCCTCGGCTGTCCCTGTTCATCCATTACACTATTATCCCCTCGGCAAACATCCAGGATCCATCCGTGGACACACTCGACGCATGGACTTAATGCCCGGCTCTCGGCTGGTGTCTGAGGAAGGGAGCATGCAATTTACGCGCAAAAGAACTAGGATGTGTTTCATAGCGGCGCTGCAAAAAGAAACGGCACTCTTTCTCTCTGCTTAACAGGGGTACAGCATACATGATAATGTCGCCGGTGCGTTTCCGCCAACGTTCCACGTGAAATATGAAAAGAGCCTGGCGAAAAATTGCGATCGTCCGGCCTGCCGTACTATGCGATCTTCTTATTTATCGGTATTAACATGTCAAAGATGCTTAGACTAGTTTTTCCTCTGGTTCTTTTTTTTTAGGAATTTCCGTGTTGCACGGTCTTTGAAGCTTTTAACTCTCATTTTAGTCGTTGGGAAATTCTTGTCCGGGGAACGGTGGATTTGGTGAATATTAAGAAGATTTTAAGATGATGGGAGGAAGAGAAATGTTAGGAAAGTTGGTGTTCCCTTATTTTGATTTTAATATCTCTTGTCGAATGGTGAAATAGAATCTTCTCCAGTTCTTCTATGATTGCCATAAATTTGATCGACATTAAGCTGGAACGAGGAAGAGAAAAATTAGATAAAGTTGGTGTTTTTTGAGTGAAAAGTATTTTCTTACTTTGACTTCAATTTTTTTTAATATTTATAGTGCAAAAGTGACATAGAAATTTGGTAAATGGTACTTAGAAATCTTCTCCAACGCTTCGGTAATCGCCGTAAATTTAGATTAGGTAAAATTGGTGTTTTTTGAGTGAAAAATATTCTCTTACTTTGACTTCAATTTTTTTTTAATACTTATCGTGCAAAAGTGACATAGAAATTTGGTAAATGGTACTTAGAAATCTTCTCCAACGCTTCGGCAATCGCCGTAAATTTAGATTAGGTAAAATTGGTGTTTTTTGAGTGAAAAATATTCTCTTATTTGGACATTAATATTTTTTAACATTTGTCATCGAATGGTGAAACAGAAATAGAAGTAAACACTACTTAGAACTGCTTCCCGACGCTTCGATAACTCCCATAAAATCGACGTTCCACGGAATCGTTATCGGCCGCATTGACCATCCGGCCATCTTCTGATTAACTAATAATTCCCCCAAGAAAAGTTTACTCGCGTAGAATACCAATCGCTCGAACTTCTCTATTCGTTGATCATAAATTATTAGGCCTTTGAGCGGCGCATTCTTAACGATCTCCTCAATGCCATTAGCCGTTCCTCTCTTAATTGCGGAATATCTTCTCGCGAGAATAATGGATATTCAGTAACGCTAATAAGTACGCGAATACAAAGACGCGCAGTCCTTCAAGGATTTTCGTTAGAGACGCACGAGGCCGTTCGTGACTAAACGAGCCACACGATTGAAAAGACCTGCACAACAGCAAGGACCTCGTCTCGCCAACGCTCACGTTCATCGGCAATTAGAAACCATAAAATCTCCACGAGAACTCTGTAATCGCGCCGTTTGATAGAACGTATTCAATCGCTATCGGTCACGGATTTCTCATGGTCGTCGTACTACGCGCTTTCGAGCAGTTTCTTCTTATTGTCTCGTTGTTGATCGAACACACTGTGTTCAATTCCATATACACGTTCAATTCACGTACAAAAAAAGAAACTGCAAA